CCTGGCTCTGCCTCCCGAGTGCTGGGATTAAAGGCGTGCGCCACCATGGCCTGGCTACAGTACTATGTCAAGCATCAAGAGGCCAGAAGCCACAGAGGCCAGTGAGCCCCCCTCTTGCATCAGCCCTAGGCCTTCTCAGTCTTCTTGGCTTTGCAGAGGCCTCTCTCTCTCCCTAGCTAGGCTGGTCTACCACCAACCGCCCTAGACCAGGCCAGCCTGTGGCTTTGAAGTGACAGGTTCCTCCACAGCAGTGAGGAAGAAGGAGGTTGTGAACGACTCCAGATCAAGACTTGGGGTCACATCTGGCATTCTCCTGCCAAGAGTTCCTGTCTTACGGTGGGGTAGGGGCTAACAGATTATACTCAGGCTGGGGCCTAGTTCAGGCATTTACCAGTGGCCTGGCCTCGACTCAGGCCTCGGCTTTACCTGTTCAGGGGGGTTAATCAGAGGCCTGACCTTACCATGCTGAGCTGCAAATGAGATTCACTCCGTAACCGGCCAAGTCTCCCTGACCACAAAGTTCACACTCTCCTTTCTCCCCGCACTGCGTGTATTTGAAGAATGTGAACGTATCAAACATCCTGTTCCCAACTATGTGGCACAGCTCACTTGTTTACCGTGATGGACACCTGACAGTTGATCTCATGTTGTAGATGGGGAAACAGCCTTGGAGAGCTTATTGTTCTAGATCTCAGCTAGAGGAAGCAGAGGTGAGATTTGAGCCAGGGCTCCGAGGTTCTGAAGTCCGCACAGTTGGTTTACAATGACGCATTTATTTCCCAGGGAGTGTTTTGCCCATGGTTAAAATTTGTAATTAAATGGTAGTTGTCTTTTTTTTTTTCTTGGTGCAAGGGAACCACTTTCTGCCTCATGTGTTTTGTTTCTTTCTTTCTGGGAAACTTGGCAGAAGTATCAAGAACACTTGATGTCCGGAGTATCTCTAACACACAAGGAAGGCATTAAGCTGCGAGCCCTGGGACATGGCTAACACTTCTTTTTCACCCATTGTGAAAAGTTTGGAACACACATAAATTATAAAAAAAAAAAATGTGACCCTCGCCAGCAGGCACACAGACGGCCCAGGCTGAGACAAGAAACGGAGCGAATACAGTTGGCTACCTGCGGCCCTGACCTGTTAGCCTAGTTTCCTGGTTTGCTTTTGTTTGCCCTCGCACTGTGGTGTGGAAAATTTCCACATCTCCCCAGCACAAGCATTGAGCAGAAGGGCAGAAGGGAAGGGTGGGAGCTGTCCCTGTTCTACTGAGCTTCCTTTTGTGCTCTGGCCACCAGGCAACCTCAAGGGCAGCCTGTTCCACTAGCAAAGAAAGCCTTTGTCGGGACTCGCTGCCCTCACCCCACCCCTCAGGAAGGGAGCTGGCAGGGCCTCTGAAGAGGACCTCAGGGCCCACCCATCACTTGGCCCTCTAAGGCAGGCTGGGATCAAATCACCATGGTGCTCTGTGCAAAAGGAGCTGGATGGAGGTCATGTTACTTACTTAGTGGTTCTGGGTAGCCACAGCATGGCCAGGGCCTGGGGTGAAAACCCATGGGGATGGGAGCAAGGCTGCCCTCCCTAGGTGTCCAGAGCTTGGCACACGGCTAGTACCTAATAAATTCTTGCTGCACTGAGCCCCGAGGTCTGATAGAGCTCACCATGGAGAGCCTGGCACACAGATGATATCTAATGAATGTGCCATTGAACTTCCAGGGCCTAGCACAGAGCCTGGCACACGGCTGGTACCCACTAAATGTCTTACTGAGGGGCTGGAGAGATGGCTCAGTGGTTAAGAGGCCTTTCTGCTCTTCCAGAGGACTTGGGTTTGGTCCCTGGTACCACACAGCGGCTCATAACATCCTATAACCCTGGTGCCAGAGGATCCAGCACTCCCTGCTGACCTCATGAACATACATGGTGCACATATGCACATACATGCACCCCAGCACACACATGTAAAATAAAGTAGATAAAATACTTTAAATGTCTTACTGCATGTCCATGGAGCCTGCCACATAGCTGGTGCCTAACGAATACCTTACTGAGTCCAAGTCCTGGTGCAAATAAGACACCCAGTGTCACCTAATGAGTTTTTGTGGGGAAAAGAGCAGAGCTAAAGGGAAGTAAGGAGGGACAGGGGTGGGGGAGACAGACAGCTGCATGGAGACACAATGACCTTCTGTCCACGTTCCAGTAGCACCTATGGCTTTGACTGTGGCGCATCCAGAGTCCGACCCAGCTCACTTTGGCATCTTGATGTCGTCTCACCCATGAGCTGAAGGTGTGACCAGGAGCATGAAATGAGAGGACACAGTGTGCAACATACATTGCACTTGTGCTAGTCACAGGGAGGTCACAGCGGTACCGCGTGTTGAACGTCAGGGAAGCTGCAGGTCTGGGTTCCCAGCATCAGCGGTCCATCCCCTGTCCCCACCATGAAGATGCAGTCTCCCAGCTCCAAGGTCTCTGAATCACTTAGAAGCTGTGCCAGCCTCCCCTGCAGCGATGAAAGACTTGTTTATCTGCAGGCCCCCTCAGTGCCTGGCAGGCAATGGGCAGGAAGGGGCCTGGGGGTGGGGCTGGGGACACCGATGGCCCTGAGGGCTCGGAGCAGAAGGCTGCTGTCCCTCTTTCTTGCTTGCCTTCCTTTCCAGACCTTCGGTTTTCTAGATCCATCTACCCCTGTCCCAGGTACAGCAACTATCCCTACCTGAAGTTGCATCCTATGCTTACCCCAGGGTTCCCTGTTTCTGAAGCAGCGGTCAGCTGAGCCGGTTTCCTGGCCCACTCATTGGCGGTGTGACTTCAGACAGGATGCTACATCTTTAGGACCGACAACTTCCTCACCTTTAAGGACAGTGGGGTTTTGACCCTTGAGATAACTCCCAAAGTCCTTCAGAGCTGGAACCTACAAAGCCCCACCCCCACTCTGAACCTTATCTCTGCCTCTCTTAAT